GTACAGAGGTGTTTAATTGCGCTGGTGTAACTTTAATAAATAACCTCAAAACCTTCCCTTTTAGCCAGTGTCTCGTTATGCAGATATCAACCTTGAGGTCAAGTGCAAGGATTTAAGCCGTACAGTTAAGTGAGGCATTAACTGCAGCCACTCGGAGTTATTATGTCAAATGACTCCAGCTCAGCCCGCAACCATTCAGGTGCATCCCTCTTCTCTGCTATTTTAAAAAGGGTACCCCAGCCTTTTAAAAAGCCTATTTATTTTTCTTGTTTTCCAGTGCTTTTGAAAACCTGCCTAGCTCCAGTTAAATGCCAAACAGAGAGCCGAGCAGTTTGGAGAAGCCACTGTATGTGTGATAATACTGAGAGCAGTAACTTTTTTTCGAACTTTTAGTTTCCCGTGGGCTATCATCAGCTGTAAGAAAATGTGCCATGCTAGTTTAGCTGCAAGGATATGAAAATAAGATGTTGCAATAGTTTCTAGAAGGTAATTGTTAATATGTGGTTGTGGTTTCTCAAGCTGTAAAGACTGAATAAGGTATTTTCACAACCTCAGGTTTTGATATTAGCTGGGGCGTGAAGGTTTGGGGTAAGGGCTTTGGACCAAAGAGACTGAAGTCTCTCAGGTGAGCTACATTTGGAAGTTCACATTGTTCTCCAGCCTAGGACAGCATCATCATTTCAAGCACAGGGCTGGAATTATGTTCTCCCTGTCTGACGGAGGAGATCGCTTTGGTCATAAGCTGAATTCTGTAATCCCATTTCAAGGTAGCTGGAAGCCTGTTTTGCCCAAGCAGAGAAGGTACAGGGATGCTGTACCAAATGTCATGCTAAAATATTCTTTGCTGTGCAATGTAATTTCTTTCAGGGGCAACAGCAGCCTGGCCATCGACCTTCATACCGATGCCTCAGCGCCAACATCAACAGTTCAACTCTGGCTCTGTTTCTAAAAACTGAAATTCCTAGAAAAGCAGCGGAGACCTCCCCACGTGCAAATGACTGAGTCTCTCTTATCCCTCTGATTGCAGGAATGGCAAAAGCTCAACTATGACATTTATACCTTACGGCAGACCCGAAAAGAAGTGAGAAGCAGGTGGAAACACATTTTGGAGGATTTAGGTAAGCTAGAGGACAAAGGGATGTAATTTCTGTGGTACCGGATGAGAGGTCCCACGATGACTGAGGATGGGAATGGCTCCACAAAACCAAGCTGACAGAGGAGAAACGGAGGAAAAGAAAACAGGGTTGCTGAGCAATGCCAGCAGGTAGCCCACATGGCAACAGAGAGCCTGCGGGGGCCTCCCCAGAGCTCGGGCACGGCTGGGAGGAGACAGGGCCACTGTGTCTGCAGGCACGTCAAAAAGCCCATGAACCGCGCTCAGCGGGAAAGCCTTGCAAGCCCATAATAGTATGCAGAGTCATCCATTTCAAGCTTCCATGTGGAAACTTAGCAGGGATACCTGGGAGTTCACCCTAGGTGTTTCTAAACAAGGTAAGCAGGAAGGAATGAATATTCCTTTTAGATTTGAACACAGATACATCTGTTTTTCTTCCTTAGCCCATGCCAGCTGATCAGAGCTAAACCACCCACTTTGCTTGCTCCTAAGTGAATTTGAAATTCTTTCACCAAATGAAATTGCTCAACAGCCCTCCTACTCCTGCTATTTCCTACCCTACAAAGGGTGAACTGCACCCACCGGTCCTGCGTGTTCAGCTGCTGCTCCTCTGGAGCAGGCAGCGACGGGTGTGACCTGGTTTTCCCAATTGCATTGCACACAGCATGGGGTACAAGGGGCCAAGGAGGTGTGCCGTACCGGCACATCAGCTTGGTGACTTGCATCATGCTCTGGAGGTGGTTGGCAGCTAATGAGAGGAGGATGTGCGAGTCCTTGTTGGGCTGTTCCAGGATATTATCAGTGGGAGCAAAAGAGATGGATATCTCAGCTGCTCTTGCCCTACCTGCCGTTCTGGCGTCTGGATGGGAGGAGCATTATAAATTCATAACTAGATATCAGCGTTCATCTCCACCCAGGTGCTCACGCAGCCTGTACAGACCGAACACGGGAGGGATCATTTGACATCCTTACATCTGTTACTGCACGTTGACAAAGGGTCTCCCACATCTCCCTCTCATCCGCAATGGCTCCGGAGCTGTTTTGCAAAGGGTGGGGAAGCTGAAGGCCAGGGGTCATTTGGCCTTAGCGAAGCGAGACGTGCAGCCTGCTATCTTTTGGTATCTAGAACCTGTGCTTTAATCATAAGACCACCACTCCTTCCCCATAAGTGTTTTCAGGTGAGATGCATCACCACCAGCTCTCTAGAGCTGAAGGAAGCGTTAATGGTAGCCATGACATTTAAAGATCCCCACATTTATTCTCCTCTCCCTTTCCTTCCCTGTATGCTCTTCCTACAAGAGATGCTGGCTGCTACAGGAACAGTTACCCACGCATTCATTACTGCTGCAAGATTTTTATCGCTGTTACCTCCCAACAACGTATAGGCGTAGTCACTGGGGTGCTCAGGAAGCCCCACCAGCCCTGAAAGCTCTGGCAGCATCAGGAAGGTGCAAGAGCTGAATCAGCACCCTGGGTGCAGATGTTCGTACACCTTCTCTGGAAAAGGAGCAGCAAACTTGCTCTGAATGTTTTTGTGATTTTTTTTTTTTTCCCCATCAGCAAGCTTGTACCTACCCCAACTGCAGACACAGAGCCTGCCTGGGGAAAACACTAGTTTGTTTTAGCAAGTAGGGAACGCAGCAGCCCAAGGTGGAGGGGGAATAAGGAACCTTGCAAAAGCCTGGAGGGCTCAGGGATGACCCTGCTCACATGTTTGGCTCGTTTCTGCACCACATCTCTTTCCCAGGTTTCCAGAAGGAAGTGGACTCCCTCTTGTCCGTGACCAAACTCAGCATCATCAGCGACTCTCAGAACATGGGTAAAGCCCGGGACATCTTGTTAAAGCTCTCCGAAGAGACAAACATCTTCCCAACCAGCTGGGAGCTTTCCGAGCGCTATCTCTTCGTTGTGGTGAGTAGCTCCTAGCACGCCTTCCTCTCCGTCGCCCGCATCTCTGCAAGTGAGCTCAAGTGCGGGGAAGGAGATAGGTGAACTGCACTGGAGGATGCTCAGATACATGGTGGCATCTGGGGTGTCCCGATCAGATGTTGCACTTGTAGCTTGGCTGTTCAGCTTCCTTGCAAATGTCAGTGCTGTAGCACCATAAATTTGCCCCCCTCAAAGTTCCTTTAGTCCTGTGCAACTGGGTGCTCTTGCAGCCTGTTAACAAAGCGGGAGAAGATTAGACCTGACGCCTTGCTTAACCCGAGAGTGGCTGTGGAGGGAGGACCCTGACCAGGGAGCTGCCCGAAGCAGCCCGTAGTGACCGTAAAACCCTGTTGCTTTGGCAGGATCGGCTCATAGCTCTGGACGCTGCGGATGAGTTCTTCAAGATGGCCAGCGTGGTGTACCCGAAGAGACCCAGCGGGGAAAGAGGGGACGAGA